GGGAGTGGTCTGCCATCTGGAAGAAAGACAATGCCTGACAGCTAACACGCAACAAATAGATTGAAAAATGGGTACAATTCAGCGGGACGATCGGGCTTTAGGCCTGCACCTCACAAAAAATTAGCAACCTCCGGCCTCTCAGCAGCCCTGGATCCAACGGTCTACGCTTTAGGAAACGATGCATACATTCGCTCTTGATAAGTTTGTCTAATGAGAATGGTATTCTTTGCCCTCACAAAGGTGAACAGTATCTCTGTCGGATGGTCTCACCATATTCTTTATTAAGGGATGTCGTTGCAATCATACACACGGAACTAGGACATATTGGCATTCACAAAACTGAGTGGGATCCGCACCGTCAGTGCATTTGGCCAAAAAAGACATGACCTCCAAAGCGTTGGACCCTCATGCTAATATTGCCAGTGCGCTTTATCCCCTAAGCATTCCCGGGTGGCCTCAAAGGTCAACATATTAGGGAGCTCATCGACAGAAATAATAAAATGCTACTTGGGCCGCGGCGTACCGGCATAGCTACTAGCATACCGACCAAGGACACACGCGAAAACTCAGCATACCACGTTCGTGCTGTCATGCGGACGGATGATGCAACTTCTGGAGGATCTACATTGTTCATTCGGGCATTAGCGGATATTTTGATAGATAGGTGCAAAAATGTGGAGATTTGCCTGGTTAAAATCATAGGCAGAAATCTTTGGAAAAAATTTTAAACTAGGAAATAAGTAGTAAAAATACGCTCCACGAAACTGTGCACATAGTTCACCGTGCTCCAACTTCCAAAAAAGCTGTAAGAGGTAAAACTTGTGACCTCGTGGATATCATAAGGCCATAGGTCGTGTATTCATCCCCTACAACATTTAAAACAGGCTATATCCTTCCTTAATTCTTATAATAAATGTCTCCCAAACCTTACAATGCATAATATAAACGCCCATGATAACCCTTAACCTAAGCCAGAAACGTGGCCGTAACTCTAATCATAAGTATGAATCTATCCAAATCCATAAAACCTACCTTTTCTGACACGTAGCATAGTCTAGTGCTAAATGTTATCATGACCTTAACCCTTATCCTACTGCTAACCATAACCCTAACCATAATTTCGTCGTAATTCCTAATAATAGCCATTATTCTACCTGCAGTGATAGTCATAATTTGTGCATCTTATAATCAAAGTTAATGATAAAAACATCTCTAAATTAGCAGTCGCAACTATAATTTTGGAATCTATCAGTTTTGAACCTCAAAAGTCCACATAATTTGTGTGATCCCGGAAGCATTCTGAGAACGAACTGCAGAAAAATCTAATCAATCATCAAACAGGCGTCGGGGACCAATAGCGAAGGTCCTCGACGTTCGGTTACCCTAAAGAGATTTATCCCGCGATTAATATTGGCTATTAATCACCTCAGTTTGTGGTTTGTAGAGCCACCTTCGAGGCGTTATAGTGGCCGAGATTCACGATGGAAATGCATCCGGGCTTGTTACTAGACGAGGATGCATTTTCTAAGGCCGCGGAACAAAATAGGCCGATTTTTCTTTATGACTGGTTGAGAAATCTTGATCAGCGTCTGTCAAATTCAACGGAAGCGCAAGTGAAAAGTGTACAGCAAGCACTTCTAAAGCAAGTTTTGGAGCAGCTGCGACAGAATATTGGTCCACCCATCCAAGCTTTACTCGGAAAATGCCTCGTAAAGATTTTCAATGCAGGCGACTCTCTTTCACTTTATTCGGCCATCAACACCTGCATCGACATCCTCAAAGTGAAAGATGACAGTCCAGCAACCGTAAACCGCCGATTAGCAGCTTTAGTTTGTCTTGGAAGTATGTACAGAAGTCTCGGTCGATTGTGCGGTCGTTCGTTTGAGGAGACTGTGTCGATCTTGATAAAAATGATGAAGCAGGTATCGTTTGAATTTAATTTTCATTTGTCAGTTCCTTGGTCTTTCTGTCTTGATATTTATTCGGTTAATCGTTGTGAGCGCACCTGGCTAGCCTTCATAATTTCGTAGGCATCAATTAAGTATACAAGTTTGTTACTTCTCAAATTGGCTAGCAGGTAATTAGTTTGGTTATTTACGGATCACACTTCAGTGCCTCATCCACAGTTGGTTATCAACAGCTGCGAGTATTCGTCAATATTTGTTCATGTATTACAATTTCAAATTTATACTTTGTCTTTCTACCAGCGTTTTCTTTACTACAGGTCACATTTATTGCTAGATCAGAAAGAATAACTCCTTTTTCGCAGTATATATCGAGTGTCCTCACAAGAATGCTTTTACCAATTAGTGTTATTTGTTTACGTTTGAAAAAAAATTTATTTTATCCTTTGTAACAAGACAACAGCAACCATATCCTATTCCTTCTGCACATTTAATGTTTAAGGTCGCAAATCAAATTCCTGTGTTACAAAATTTGTCTGTACTTCGATGGTTTCTCGATTTAGGTTCTGTATTTTTCCAATGATTCTTGTCAGTCCCACAAAAAAATTTATACGTTTCTTTCTATGCACCAATTTAATCTATGCATTACAGTGAACGTGATAACTACCTACCGCATATGCAGTATGTACCTCGACCCATTCTCAATAGAATCCGAAGTTTTTTTTTTACCACCAATATTCAGCAGTATTTTCATGATGGATCCGTCCATTTTTAAGGTGGAGTCACAAACTCGATATGAAATACTCAATACACTCAAGTACATTGTGCTGGGTCTTGGTAATACAGACACTTCTTGCTACCGGGACATTTTCAAGACGGCGAAATCCTACATGAATGATCGAGTTATGTCGGTGCGCCTTGCTGCCACACAGGTTAGTGTTATTTTTTCAGTACACTGCTTACAATGTCTGATTTATAAGTTTTTCTTAAAACATCACATTAGCCAATATGATTCTTTTCAATCAGGTAAGTAGCACTACTGTCTAAATTGCGGCAACGCTTTGCAAGAAGAATGGCCAAACCGCTTTTCGCAGTAGCCACATAGTGACGTATTCCTTGACTGGGGTTTTCTCTCATTTTCCGAACTAAGATGTGGACATGGCAATTAAAACGCATAACCTCCCTTTACTGTTCGGCCGACACTGATCTTGCATGCTGGGCTGATTAGGAAGTACCATCCCGTCGGCGCTCTATGGAGTGGTTAGTTATGCCCTTTTGAAGAAGAAGAATGCTATATTGAGGATTTTACAAACCTGAATTTTCGATATAACTTAGTAACATTACTCTCATTAAGACTAACTACACTAGTGTCCACCAGTAATTCCCGTCATATAACTAGGATTCTTACAATGAAGCGAGAAAATCAGTAGTTTAGACCCTCAGCTACGTACGTTCCTAGCTAGAAGCCAAAATAAAAAAAACTACTTTCATACAATGTTTAATTTGGCCGGCTTTGACCCGGACGGCAATTAATGACATTGCCCTGTCCGAAAACTGCTGCATTTAGCCTTCCTAGCTATCAGTCCATCGTCGCCTTTATTTGTGCCAGCACCATCCAAGCCGTTCGTGCTTTTGCAACGTTCTCCTCATGGCAGGCGAACTGGTGATGCCACAGTCCGCAGACGATCTGAACGCTCTGTATAGATAACTAAACCTATGCGTATTCCTATGTAAAGCATAAGCAGCGACCGTAGATAGTTCAAAATAACGGTCTTCAAATAGCTTGACATGACTTAGAGTTAGAGCAAACAGCTTGTCCTTGGAATAACAGCCTCATATCTGATATAGTCTCAATACCGTTGCGGATTCCGCTTGCGCGCGCAATGACCTTTGCATCACATATGAAGAATGCTATCTACCCTGTTCTCAAGCGACGGACGTGAAATACATCCATGTATTGACCAGCCATGTAGCGCCAGGATCTAGGCTAAACTCTTCGACACTCCAATCAAGCAGTTGCGTTGTGTGAACTATAAAAACACCGAACTCGTAAGACAGACGACGAGCAACTGGAACAAGTCGTCCCTCATGCATTGCTTACGGTAGGTATACGGCGTTGTTGCAGCAAGTGCGTACTTTTATTCGTGCGGAATACTGATTCCGGTGATGGTTCGCAGACAACGGTGACCAAAAGTCTGTAGTCATCGCTTGGTTTTGAAAGTGCACAAACCCATATCAATAACCATGAAAGAGGACTAAATAAATCGATGCTGGATTCGTATAGTTCTCTATGACAGTGGTGATATAACCCCGGGTCCATAAAGAGCGCTGATTCGGGAAGCGATGTCTCCCTGTTTTGTTAAGTTGAGGTAAAATTATCTCTCAGAAGCATTTAAACACATTCACTTCTCCAGGCTAAAAGCTATTGCTCTCTTCACGTGTTTTCTCCTGGTGAGAAGTGCAGCTAGAAAACACTGAACTTCGCAGTATTTATGAGGGAAGGACTCAAGGAGCGACCTCATACATCCGCAACGCTCATCCAGTAATTCATCGTAGCATGGCGCCAGCGTTGCGATGTCACCGGCACGATTGACGTCAATGAGGCGACGCCCAGGTGAAATTTTGAGGTAATCGAAGCCTTGCACGATTTTTCGAGCATGTAGTCGTCCGCGCATTTTAAAGAAATGGACGACAAGTCACAAATACTTCGCGCG